AAAATAGAAAAGAAAAAGAAAAACTCTATGGCACACGGTTCCACCCTCATTCACAGAGGCTCATCCTGAGTGTGGATGACTCAACAGCAACTGCTTTGGTAATTTTTTTTAATTACAGATAATTATTTTATTACAATATTTTTTAATTCATTGTTGCACAGTTCCTTCCCCCTTGTTTCAGTTATTTTGGTGTTTTTTTTTTTAAACCATCCCTGCTTTATTTAAATCCTTCCGTGACTTCCCTCAACCATGGAGAGAACATCCAAACTCTACAGCCTCACTTACCAAGCCCTTGGACCTCCTGCTCTTGTTAACTACGGCTCCAGCTTCATCTAGCGTCACTACCTCAGCTCCCGTACACGTTTAGCTAGGCCACATCTGAAGACACCTGTCCTCCCCCGCCCGGCCCTGTCCCTCCTGTGTACAGTCATGTTTTCCTTTCTTTGTTCTCTTTTCCAACACAAGTACTTTCAGGTTAATGCCCCCATCTGCCTTGATAAGCTTGCCCACCCTCTGCCACAGTCTCTCTTTCTGGCTTCCCAGCCTCTTTCCTGACACCTTGCTGTGAGTCCTCTTTGCTGAACACAAAGTACTTCTTTATCCAGAAACTCATCCCTCAACAATTTCCTTCTTCAGGATGACTGACAGCTTGACAGAGAAGCTCTAGTTGTACACAAACCTCAGCAAAAAGGAACAAAGAAGCTGAACACCCCTTCAAATGTTGTGGAAAGAAGCCCCAGGGTTCCTGGAGACCCAGAAACACACAGGCTTTTATCTCAGCATGTTCTAAATCATCGGCTTTCATATCTTTCTTTCCTCCTGCCCCCCTCGGCTGCATGCTTCTTGAATTCGGGCACCGTGTCTGATTGTGGCCCTGGTGACATGACAAATATTTCTCAAATGAATAAATAACAGGGCTGTCCTTTGGTGTTTCACGCACACGCTATTCTCTCTCATTGTTTATGGCTTCAGAAGAGTACTCCTTTCTCCATTGCCCAGTCTTCCCATGTGTCTCCAGACTCAAAGGAATGATTTCTCCTACTCAGGTCCACCTGGCTTTTGCAGACCTTGAGCCGTTTTATGGCTGCAGTTTACGATTATGGCCACCAGGGGGCTTTTCTCACTGTTTATTCCCCATAAGCAGCTTCACCAGGACTTCATCTGCATGACTAGGAGTTAGAAGAAGGTTCCTTTAACAGTTTAATATTGGATCTGAGATGTTCTGCCCATTACCAGACTCTTATAGCACAGAGTTGGTCATATGAGAACTTTAATAAGCTTCCTTGACTCTTAAACTTTCTTGAGAAAATCCAGTTTTCATCTAGGACAGACTCACTCATTGCCATCGAGTTGGAACCGACTCACAGCTGACCCTCCAGCAGATTTTCAGAGGCCATAAGTTGCCTGTTCTGAACCGGGTTGCAGCGTGTCTCCTTGGGTGCTCCACTCCAGCCCCAACCCACCCTGGACCCCGACTCTTTCAATCTGAGGAGACTGCTTGGGCATGTCATGACCCTGTGCCTTCAACTGGCCTCATCAGGAAAATGGGGATTTGAATACTCGCCACTCTCTCCCACTTGGGCTAAACGAGCCAGTTATGCAGACAAGCTTTTGAAAGCCGTGAACCCTGTGCCAGTACAGGCCATCTTCATCCCACTCCCCTGCCGAGACCACTTCCTAGGAGTAGGATGAAAACAATAAACTGACTGCAATAATTACAGGTCAAGAAATTTTTTTTAACTCTTGGGAAAGGATAATAGGAACTAAAATGTTAATGATTCAATTGCTCCTCAGGTGGAGGGTACATAATTATCCCTCCCTCACTGCTGTGGACTGCATTCTGACTCAGGCTAACTAACCCTGCACTGCCTTTCCGAGGCTGTAAATCACAGTGGAAGGAGACTGCTCATCTGCCTCCCCTGGAGTCGCTGGTGGGTTTGAACGACTGGAGATGCAACTTGCTATGAACTACATCTCCAGAGCTGCCTCAATAACCACTGCTGTTACTGTTAGGTGTCGTCAAGTACATCTCATAGCAACCTGTGAACAGCAAATCTGAACCCTGTCCCATCCTGTGCCATCCTTGTAATCCCGGACACACTTGAGCCCATTGCACTGTCTCAATCCATCTCATCGAGGGTCTTCCTTTCTTTCACTGACTCTCGACCTTTTCAAGCATGATGTCCCTTTCCAAGGAACAGTGTCCCCTAATAACATGCCCAAAGTAAGTGAGGTGAAGCTTTGCCATCTTTGCCTCCAAGGAACATTCTGGCTGTGCTTTCTCCAAGACAGATCTGTTTGTTCTTTAGGCAGCCCATGGAGTATTCTTCTCCAACACCACAGCTCAAAGGCATCAAGTCTTCTGTCTTCCTTCTCATTGTCTAGCTCTTAGACACATAGCAAGTGATTGAAAACTATGACCTGAATTGGGTGCTCCTTAGTCTTCAAAATTACATCATTGCTCTTCAGTAATTTGGAGAAGTCCATGACAGCAGATTTGCACAAAGGAATATATCTCCTGATCTCCTGATGGCAGGTACCAAGGGCGGATCCAAGTAAGATGAAATTATTGACAATTTCAATCTTTTCTCCACCTATCGTGATGATAGCAGTATTAAAGTAACTATGACTAAACATAGATTGCCTCTGGAAACCCTATGGACTTGGAGAAATGATGAAAGGTGGAAAAGTGTTCAGGTCTTTAATTCATAGGGTCGCTATGAGTCGTCTATGACTCTATGACACTTAACAACAACAACACAGAGAGAGCTCAGTTGGCCTAGTGGACAGAAAGTGATGCTACCAAGCCAAAGGTGGGTGATTTTAGTCTGCAGCCCTCAGGCCAGTTTTTAATTGCTTTTGGTCAAACATCTTCTAAGTGGCATAGCACTTGTCTGTCCATTTGCTGTTCAGAGGTAACTCGTGGTTGCTTTGACACTGATGTGTCAAATGTGGTAATGGTTACCCATGGTGGACAGTGTTTGGTGGGGCTCCCTGATTAAACAAGCCTGGAAGCAGGAGTAGCATCCACTTCCAAAATAACTTTCCTCCGGAAACCCTATAGACTTCGAGAAACAATGAAAGTTAGACAAGTGTTCAGGTCTTTTGTTCATAGGGTCGCTATGAGTTGTCTATGACTCGACAGCACTTAACAACAATAACAACTCAACATAAAATTATAACCCAAATAGTATTTTTAAAATCAACAGAGCATTAAAAAATTAAAGTTAGAGCATTAAAAAAAATTTAAAACAGAGCATTAAAAAAATCTGCAGCATAATTGGTGGAAATGTAAATGGTACAATCACTATGAAATATAGTTCAGCAATTCCTAAAAATTGTTAATATAGAATTACCACATGACCCAATAATTTCACTCCAAGATTTAGACTCAAAAGAATTGAAAACAAAGGTTCAAACACTTGAACACCAATGTTAATAGCAGCATTATTAATAATAGCTAAAAAGGTGGAAAATATCAAGTGTCCAACAGATGAAGGGAAAATTCAAATATGATGCACCCATACATTATTCCTGTATTAAAAATACTACAACATAGACCTACAACATTATGCTCAAAATAGTAAACTAGGAACAAAAAGCCACACATTATCTGATCTTGTTTATCTGACTGTCTAGAATTGGCAAATGCCAATAGAAAGTAGCTACAATGGCCTGGATATGGGGAGACGTTGCTTACTGGGCACAGTTTCTGGATAGGGCAAAGAAAAAGCCTCGGAAACCAACAGCGATGATGACTGCACAACACTTAAGAGTTGCTGTTGGGGGGGAGGGGGGAGGGGTTTGTGCGGGGAGAAGGGTGCAACAATGAATGAATGGAATCCCAAAATCTCTGTAGATGTTCACTGAAATGAAAAATAAACAACCTAAATTTTAAAAAAAAATGCAGAAACTGAATAAAAATTCCGTTATTTCTCAAAATAAATAAATAAATGAAAATGGGAAAAAAAAAGAGTTGCTGTTGGGACCCAGCAATTCCACCACTGGGAATATACCCTAAAGAGACCATAAATGGCACCCAAGTAGATATATGTATACCCATGTTTATTGTGGCTTTGTTTACAATAGCAAGGGGTTGGAAACAACCTAAATGCCCATCAACAAACGAATGGGTAGAGAAGCTGTGGTATATTCGCACAATGGAATACTATGCTGCATTGAAAAACAAGGAACT